GGGGGGGGGGGGGTTAAGAGCAGGAGGTGTGGGGATAAATCCAAGTCCTTTCATAGAATCCAACAGAACACCAAAATAGGCTATGTGCACTCCCCCCCCCCCCCCCATTTCCCATAGCCTGCAATGAATTATTTTAAGTATTCATCATATGAAATACAGAGTGCCCTTTGACTCATGTTAAAACAAACTGCTTTCTTGAATTGTCACCTCTACAGATGGGAATTATAAAAGGCGACAAAACAAGAAAGGATGCAGAGTGTAAAAATCCTACTGTCCCCCACTCCCCTAAATAATTAGGGAAATAAAGGGAAAAAAGGGCCCCCTCCAAGTTTTACAGATGCTCAAAGGAATGCTTTTAAGGATTAACGTCTGGGGAAGGGGGGATGCAGGTGAGTGAAAGGAAAAAAAAAAAAAAAAAAAGGAGTAGGGGGAGTGGCAGCCCAACCTGTGTGGTGACAACATGTAACAGAATACAGAAGTCAGGAGAGGGGGCCAGAGGTCACAAGGGAGGGAGGAGGTGGAAAAGGAGCAGGGAGAGATGGGTGTTACCATTGCAAGCTGACAATATGTACACTGGAGGGAGGGCAAGTGAGCTGAGAGAGGAGGGGAGGGGAAGGGAGACAGAGTCAAACAGAGGGAGAGAGAGACAGAGGGGAGGTGGGGCAGAGGGAGTTTTACAGGTACTCTGGTGAAGGGGAGGCGTGGCTCAAAGAAAGCACTCCAACAGAAACCAACAAGATCTTGTTTTAAACTTTTCATTTGTTTTGAATGGTTTTTTGTTTGTTTTCTCTTTACGTCTGAAGCTCCCCTAACCTTATGTCGTAGAGGTGGTTGGCCATGATTCTAACCCAACACTACATTGCATACTTTTGTGTCCATTCCCGAGCTATTCTGTTGTACCTGTGAACAAGCAGAAAGAGAGAGGGGTAGAGAGAAGGGATGTTAGTTGTTTAGCAACATGAGGATTCTGTTACATCTTTTTACAAAAAAAAAAAAAAAAAAAAAGAATCTGTTAGGAAACCTGTGACATCGTCACCTCCATGCATTTCCATGTGTACATTATACGTTTTAGCCGCTATCCTTGCAGCAGCAGCAAAGACGCCAGCTGGCTGCTGCTCTACAGGGGCACAAACGGTTCGGAAATGTGTCTCTAGTGTCTCTACAGACCGATACGCAGTATCATAATGTAGCTGAGGACACAGCCAAAAATGCTTAGAAAAAACAGAGTTTTTTTAATGTTTTCTGAGCACATTATATTATTCAGGGCTGCCCTCTTATCAATCTAGTCTAGAAGTTCCCGAGTCGCATTTTCTCAGTCAAATCACGACCTCTTTATGGCTCCATCAGTCTTAAAACGACTACATAACTGGTGGAAACCGAGGTCTGCACTGGGACCAGGATGCACACTTTGTATTTCTAAGCGATGTTTTCATATCGTCGGTGAACATGAGCATTAAAATGTGAGTCTGTGGGAGTTTATTGTGGAGCAGCTACTCTGCAGGTGGACTGTACTGGAACTGGGCGTCGGCTATGAATAATGTGTTTCCTCATAACCATAGCCAAATATCAGAAATAATGTTTTTTATAAACAAAAAAATATCTATGGATCAGAAATGCATGAACCACAGACACATGACAAATAGAAGAGCTTTTTAGAGGATGTATCACATTTTTGTATATTCCCATTTTAGGCGAGCGCGTTAATCCCGTTCCACGCAGCCACAACTTGTTAGCAAGTTTTTCGGTTGCAAAAATATCACAATGACGTAAAAACTGAGCTGCAGCAACTGTGCGGTTGTGTTACTCCCAAAAGCCAGATGGATTAATGGCGACACAAGCATTTGTCTCCAAGTTGCATACATGCGTTGTGTGAACTCACACTGCACGTCTTAATCATCTTCCTGACCGGCCAGAACCTGAGACGTTTCTAATCTCACTGTACGGAGCTCACACTGCCGTAAACACGGAACCCCCAGTCGCTTTTGTCCATTGACAATTTCAATAAAGTTTCTTCAAAGAGAAAATACTTTGTGTAATTCTACTATGAACGGAAAGTAAGAAGAAATCAAGCCAAAGATGACTGGAAGATGTAGACAACGCAATCTGAAGTTCAGTTTTATCATATATATGCAACATGAAAAATATTGCTCCAGTAATATTAAAGCAGGCCCAACACAGTTTACTGCGGAACATTGGACTGTGGTTTTGCTGCAAGATGGCCGACCAAAGTTTTTTGACCCGCCAGAAATAAATCCGTTCAGTGTCTGCCCGTCTTAAGAGACTTATTACTTTTGAACAGTAAGCGTCTGTTTATCTTTAAAGTCACTTCCCGTAATGTAAACCCGTAGAGATGCATGCGTAAAACCTGCTATCCTTGTGTCGGTCGGCTTTCAAACCAACAATGGTTTGAAAATGTGCAAGATGGAGCTTCTGTGCACCAGCAGCCAGTCTGCGACGCTGACTTTGATCAGAACAGGTCTGAGTGCATCTCCACCCAGACCGGCGGAGAACTGACAACAAATCCAAAAACATCTGAATGACGCACAAACAACTTACTTTTCCCTGTCCGTCTTGTAGATGCGGGCGATCTCGGGTACTAAGGGGTCGTCCGGGTTCGGGTCACACAGCAGAGAGCAGATGGACAGGAGGACTGGAATGGACCAGTTAACCAATCAGGACTCACAAATAAAAACGGGAATTCTAAGAATTGATGCTAACTTCCTTCAGATGACCCATGGATGCAAGTCAGGCAGAGTTATAGAACCGTTTATAATACATGCAACTAAGATTTAAACATACAAATAAAAACTAACATTTACAGCAGGTCCAGTAGTGAGCACTGCATGAAAAGCTCTAAAGCTGACATTTATGGAGAGGGCACTCCAGTTTCATACAAGGACCCCTGCGTGTTTGTGGGAAGCCGTTTCATTTAAAAAGGAAACCTACGCGTTTCCCCTCTTCCTTTATTCTTAACATGCCGTTTATGAAAACAGTAGCATTTGTCATTTATCTGGAACAATATGAGCAAAGGCCGGTGAAAAAAAGAAAAAGAGAAAACAGTCTACCTTTGGAGATGGTAAGAGCCGGAGACCACTGTGATCGCAGAATGTCAAGACAAATGCTGCCGTTGCTGTTGATATTTGGGTGGTAGATTCTTGTGGTAAATGCAACCTGAAAACAGACGGAGAGAGAAGAAATGTAGGGGAGGGGGGGGGGGGGCAGGTGAGAGCAACAACAGGAAACTTAATTATGTAAAACCGTGGCATGTTTTAGCAGGCAGGCACTCGACATGCGCCACTGTTACTTTATGTATGCTGCTGCTGCTTTGTACGCGTGTCTCGCTCACCTTTGGCGGTTTGAAGGGGTAGTCTGTGGGGAAGTGTATGGTCAAGAAGAAAACCCCGCTCTGGTAAGGACTGTCATTCTAATGCAGGGAGAGAGAAGCCCATTCATCTCATTACTGACTGGCCGTGCAGGGAGGACAAAGAAGTTAATAACTCAAAGTAATAGAAATAACGACAACATTCTCTCCTCATCTGTGTCAATGGTAATTCACAGCAAAAACCAAAGCAGTATTATTAAGGCTGTGACTAAATGAGGAATATGCAAGAAGGGAATACTTACAGGTCCCATTATTGTGGCTTGCCAGTGAAACACTGAAACAAAAGACAGAGGAATTATTTAGGAAACAGCAAGAACACAATGCATGGCTGAGTGTTTGCATAAATAATGCCACATTAAGTGAGCGGTTTGTTTTCTTACAGTTGAGTAACAGGCTCTTACATAGAGTGCAACTCGGGACTCTTGGAAGAGGTATTTTTAAACTGCAAATGGTGAAGGGTCATATAATGGCAGTAGACTCACATTTACATTCACAAATAGCCCCTTCTATGTTTAATACCCCAATTGCTGCCTAAGAGGAAATTGTAATCCTGACATGAAGTAAGAGTTTTACGAAGCGTGGACATCATAAACCGGGAACACCAATACAAACCATCAGAATGTGATTTGGTAGCATTTAAAGCTGTCCAATTCAAGCATCCTGTTGAGGTCTGAGGGAAAATGTCACAGAAAAGTAAACCACAGTAATCATGTTACAACAAGCACTTTCCTGTAGTTTATAGCAGAGCGGTTTGTTTGATGTCAGATGGCAGGAAGTGACATGTTAACTGCTATCAACACATATCATTGTGCTGTAGCATTATATGCTTTGTGAAGTGTTCTTTCTACGGCTGGTGACAGTTCAACCAATCAATTCTACACAAGCAAATACATAAATCATTTTTACATGAAATCTATTAATGTGTGTAAATTGTTGACAGACGCACAATAATCAAGAGGTCCATATTCCATTTTTTTTAATGAGGGAAAAAACTCTTGCCACTGTGTTGGTGAAGCAGAATAAGATGAACCCTTAAATGGGAGAAATGATTGCCACACTGTGTGACTCACATGACTAGTTCTTCATGTATAAACCAAACTTCAAAATGTAAGAATTCCAGCTGTGTCACCACAGAAGAAGAAGCGATTCCATCATGTCCAACACAATACAAGACCTTGATGTCATCAAAATAAAAAATATCTAAAATGATAAGTAACTGATTGAGCCAATGTTAATCACAACTAGACTGCATGTAACGGCATAGTTTGGATTCCAACATGTAATCCCTGTGCCTACATTATGCAAGTGGTCCTGTTTTACCTTCGCAGCCACTATGTTATTCAAGTTTCTCTCTTCAGACAGAAGAGTCGTGGCTCTCAGTGAAGCGAGTGGACAAAGTCACCACAAGGGTTCATGTTCGGATTACTTACAGTGAAATGTAAAAGTCCAACCGGCTGCTTTATTATATTCGTTATTTGATTCTAATAAATTTGTTTTTTTGTTTAACAAATGGCGGTTCGCTCTGTGTGCACATTTTACGACCACTAGCCTCCGCTTCAAAACAACGCGAGTGTGATGATAGAGAAACATGGCAATGTGTGCATCAGTCCTGCCTCACGTGCTCTGTATGAATGTGTGTGTGAGTGCACTCAGCTGACAAGTTGTGTCCTGCCGGGCAGAGAGCCGTCGTCTATTACTTTGCACATTAACAGTTGCATCGAGTGCACAAACGGGCTACTTCGGAAAACACAGGTGTTACCTTGATAAACACGTTTGTTGGTTTATTGAAAGACTTCTTTATTTACATTGGAGTGTTTACAGCAGCGCCACTAAGATGCATTGAAAACACAAACGTCAAAATAACAGGCCCATATGAGGAAAATGGAGGCTATGCCTCAGACTCGCACTGTTAATGGCCTTAATGCTGTTGGATATTTTCTGCCATTGACCAATTTTGCAAACTGATGTCATATGTCCCAAATCATATCATTTTTTATTTATTATTTAACATGTAATAATCCAGGATAATGCCATTTGATATTTTGAATCTCATTTACGAGGGGATCCTGGACGAGGGGTGCAAAGATAAAATATGATGTTGTGGAATTACCTGCAGAAATATGTATGATCAAGTTTGGCATAGCTGTATTTGATAAATTATACAATTTAAACCAAATAAATGGGATTGAAGACATGCCCCCCCCCCCCTTTAAAATAACTTATTTTTGTTGAATAAGAGGAGATTTATGTTTCTTGTGAAACAATGAAGTAACCATTATTGTGGCATGTCTTGATAAACCTTACAGTAAGGGTGTCAATAGAAAATAAGGTCTAATGATTCTTGATTACAAAAGTTCTGATCAGTCAGGAATAGATGTGGTTTTAAATATCAATAGCTATTTACAGACTGGGTGGGCTAAAACGCACAAGAAGCCCAATTGTCCTTTACAATATTTCCCAACCTGTTAACCTTGGAGTCAGCGAACTCATTAAAATATGCATAATCAGGATCAATAAATATGGTTGAATAGCGGCATTACAATGTGCCAGAGTCCACCGGATTATGGGCTTTAACAAATCAGAAGATTCACAAAGGTGGTTGTATTAATTTCTGTATTATATGACAGCTGTTGACAGGAGCAGTTGAGACTAGTCAGAAAAATTTGCTTCCCATCATTGTCAAATTTTTCTGAATTTATTACTATATACACATATATATATATTTTAAAGGTTTCAAAGGAAATATCTATAGTATGTATGAAATGTATTTATAAAAAAAAAAAAAAAAAAAAAAAAAAAAAAAAAAAAAACGTAGTTCATGAATACTTAAGTGTTCTTTTTGGGTCAATCTTTATAGGACAAAAAATATATATTGTAGATGAATAATAAAGTAAAAATCACAGTCGGCATTTACTCCTACACTACAAAACAATAAAATGACTGCTAGAGAAGAATTCCCCTTATACTTGTCCTGAAAGCAAAAGTGAAACAGGCCTGTAGCAATAGAGTTGGGAACATCATGCTTTTATACAAACCAGTATTTTCACAACAGGCAGTCCAGGTATTTCCTGGTTGCGCTTGCTCAAAAGAACAGAGATACTTCCTTAATTTAGTTAAATGCTCTGGACTCCTCGCATTAAAAGCCAGCACATCCACTGATGTTTTTGTTTCCTTTCCAAGTTACAAGACTTGGGCTTGAAAACCTTTGAAGTATTCCAGTTGCAGTCTGTGGCAATCGGAATATTGCGAACATTTTTTCAGATCTAAACTAAACACATAAATCACAACAGATCTGGAGACAATTCATAGTTATCTCACAGGCGAAAGACATAATCCACATACTCTGTAATAAATTAGAATAAGCTATACGGCATTCCTTTTGGCGTCATTTTTTGACCAATAAATATTTATTTCTGTGGGTTGAGATGGACACACCAGTAATTTGTTGACTGAGCACCACTCACACACAGCTTCCAGGTTACTGTTGGTTTACATGATGAACTTACTGTCATCTCCTACTGGTCCTGCAGAACACTGGGCTGGTGGGTCCCGTGCCAAGTCGTTCAACTCCTGAGACAAAACAAAATGACAAGTCACTTGATCGGGTCCTGGACAGTATTTCCACAAACAATGACCTACATTACAGAACTGGGAATGACAACACAAAAATGTCACAAATACAAAAATTCCCAGAAATAAAAGGATCTTCAATATTGTGACATAAATAATAATCAGGGGCCCAGTGTGAGCCCTCAATTTGGTTAACTAAATCCCTGTTTGTAAACAGATCTGAAAGGCCAATACAACCGCAATTGCTACAAAGCCTCACTGCCATAGTAACAACTCACAAAACAATTCCCACTGACACAAACACACGACAGTAGCACCGTGGGCCTTGATTGTTGGAGTGACCGCTATTGCATAATAGCATTTCTCCAGGTAGAACACGTGACAGCCAGACGGATATCACGACGATATGTCTCCAGACACTCTGATAAACAAGAGTGTAAACTCGTCGTGTGTAGTATGACGTTACGGTGCCAATGTTAGCTAGCGAGGCGCTGGGGTTGGACAACAGAACAGGATGTAAAGTGGTAGAGACGTAATGCTAGCTGGTTAGCCTCATTACGACACGGCCTAGCGTTACCGGGGGAATTAACAACAAGCCGGCAAAACACGGCATTCAGCTGTTTTAATCTAACAAACGGCATAATCACGATGTGCTGCTCGCCTGCTGTCAGCAACATGGCATCAGAGGCGAACAACGCGTGGGGCCTGTTTTTACACAACGACACACTGCTAACATCACGAGCGGTCTCCTGTATATCGCTCCGTGTCGAATACAATTACAATGTCAAATAATAACACAAACACGACTATTATTCATGACTACTTGAGATGTCGAATTACAGGTTGTGCGTTACGAAGACAATATAACGTCAAAGAAAAAAACAGGGATTAGATATACGGAAGAGCAACGTTAGGTTACATCGATCTTTATCTCTTGTTTGTTACAATTCTACTTACATCCGAACATTAAACCATCAAAATACAAGCTAACTACAAAGAAATGGCAAATCGGTTAATAAAATAAGCGCGAGAGTCCTATCGCTAGCGTCACACCGCTAGCTGTTAGCTGATAACTTATCTGTCAAATCAAGGAACGGGTTTAGCTAGCTCAAATAACTAATAATTAATAATAGCTACCTTGACTGCCGTATGGGGAAACGAATACCGGGTAGCATGAATGCGTACGCATATAAACCACCGTTAATTTACTGTACAGATGTAGCGTTAACAGCTAGCGGTACTGTAACGTTATTAAGCTAGCTCGATCAGAAGCTTATATGAGTTAGCCAACCACCGGGAGATCATGTTAGCTAGAGACAGCTAGCGTTAACTCACAGCTAATATCATGTTAGCTAGAACCGGCACAACTAACACAGACAGTGAGTCGGTGGTGAACCTATGCGATTATAACCAAGAACAGCCATCATAAGGCTACTTGTAGCTTAAAGAGTATAACGGTTCAGTTGGCCCATTGGTAGCAGCACCAGTAAAGAGACAGGCGGCGCGTTGCTGCTCTCACTGTCGTCACTCGCTATTTACAGACCGTTAGCTAGTTGTTGAAACAAAGTCGGAGTTATTTACTCAATATTGTAGTGTTATTCTCAATGTATTAAACTCTACAGACAAGTATCGGGTGGGCAAGCTCGTAATTAAATCCCCGACGAAACTGCGAAATCCTGGGCCTCGTCGTTCACTTCCTTACCTTGTGAATTCTTTTCAGAGCCATTGTTGTGCTAGCGCTTCTGTCAGGAAAAACGTGCGATTAAAATGGCGATTGATATCACTGTCCGTTGGTACTACTACAACTTAATTATCTCAGAGCTCCGTTACTGTACACTCAATGTACCAATCGTTACCAGAAGCAACCACCGATAAAAATTTCGAGACGAAACTGAAAGATAGAAGGGGTAGAACCGCGGTCCTTCCTCCTACTGCAGCGGCTACCAAATCACTGCGGCCTGTGATCACCAGCAGCAACGACGACAAGACTTCCGGAATCAGCTCTTCAAAATAAAAGCCCCATGCGGCCAAGCTGAATAAAACATGAAGTTGCATAAAACGTTCCTAATTATGTAAGACATTATCATGCTTGGCTGTAAGTTATTCTCATACAAGGATTTGAACTGTTTTGTTTAAAATAAACAAAACTGCAGGCCCAGTCACATTGTACAACTCCTCTTTGTCTGTAATTATGTGCACCCAAAGCAGAATGTACAGTCTACTTCAAAACGCTACCAGCTGGTTATGTGTTGTCTCCAATAAGAAAACATATTAATGGGCTACAAGTATCCATTATTTTAATATTGATTAATTTGACTTTTATTGTCTCGATTAATTTCTTTATAATTTGTCAGAAATGCCCATCAGAATATTATGCATTTTGTGGACTCGAAGTGATGTCTTCTCCGAGTGTGTCCAACCAAGAGTCCAAAACCGAGACCCACAGCAAACATAAAACAGAGGAAAGCACCAAATCCTCACATCCGAGTAGCTGGACCAGAACATGTTTGACATGTTTGAATAATTTAAATTTAGAGTTGCTGGATAATTTTCTCCACAAAGTTGACTAATTGTTTCACCTCTACATTTTATAATATTTGTATTCCTTTTTCAGAGACCAATAGATTGTGTGTTATTATTTAGTGTCTATGACGAAAATACGAAATTACTGTACTGCACTTGAAACAATAAAAAAAATAAAACTTCACCCTTTTATGTTGTAAACCAGCCGGCGAAGCCGGAAGTCTCTGTTTGAACGCATCTCTCACTGCGCTACTGCTAGAAAGCCTTCCGCTGACACGAGCACGTAAAGGGCTCACAGTTGCAGTACAGCCTAGAGACGTAGTGCTGCCACTGGCATCATTGTGGCTCCGTGCATGCGGCGGTCAGACTGTATTCACATGGTCCGGACGGAGCCAAAATGTCTACCCAGCACGCATTTTGCATGAGGTAAACTCCAGCGAACGTATGCTGAGACAGTGTTCCACCACAGTTATACAACCTTTACCTTTACATATCTACAGACAGTGACATGTATATTGTTACACGTTTTCCAGTTTGTTGGCCGTATTCATACACTTTTAGGGTAAGTGTAATACTGAACGTATTCAGCGCGGAGTGATACGGACAGCGAAACTTGTGATCGCGAGATCTTCGGCACAAGGCACACTTTGAGTTTTTTTTTTTTAACTATGGAGCTTCTGTAACTACGCGTTAGATTTATAGAGCAAACGTGTAAGTTTTAAGTATGTTGAAAAACATTTTCTTAACTCTTCTTAGAGTGCATGCTACTGGGTGTTATGATCGCGTAGCTCTGCCGTTTCATTTGCACATTTCGAGTGTTTCAGGTAACGTGAAAGGTGTAGCCTACGTCAAAAGTTGGGCGGCGCATAGTAACTGGAAACTGTAACCTCGACCTCAGTATAGCTCCCTGAGGGTGAAAACACAGCGTTTGCTCTTGTTTGCTTTACCATCACTGTAATAATCAACTGTAATAATCAACGGTATAGCTTCAAACTGCCCCACGTGGTCACCTGCAGTTCTCCCTGGCGGGTGCCCTACCCGCAGTGGTGTACAGAGAAATACACAATAAGAGGTTCCTTTTCCCGAACTCATAAACATTACACATGTTCTACATGTGGAATACATAGAAAGACAGATTACACCAATATTCATACAGATTCAGATTCATGAGAATTAATTTCAATTACACTATTAGACGCCTGTCAAATAAACTCGAGATATAAATTAATAAACCCTGCAAACACTGCTAACTTCATATTAACACTGCAGCCCAAATTATATCAGGTTATAACGGGACATATATGCATTTCATTGTGAATATATTTAAGAACTCATTAACATTGGAAATACAATGGACAATCATGTCTATATTTTCAAACAAATGGTTGAGCCACATATAGTAAAAAGACAAGTATACCATCCCTTATGAATATAAGTATTTATCTAGATAATCACCATCTATAATGTTTGATCAGTTCTATCGAGCACTGTTGGCTGCAGAAACTGTTCACAAAGGGATCAATTTACTAATTTCACGGCGTATTCTGCGCTCTTTTTAGTCTTGCTGTGAGGAATTTGTCCCTGGTTATGCAGTTGGCCTATCATACTACAATAGGCATACTGTACACTGTACATGTGAATGTTTTCATCCTATTCATAATTGTTCTTCTGCTCTTATGAAATCTGTGGACAGCAGTCAGATGAAGCAAAACAAGCTAAAGTTGTGTGAAAAGGCAGAAAGTCATAGCACTGTTTGCCAACTAAAAAAACATCAGATATTACATATTTTATCACATCCATTTTATTTTTGCACTCTGGGTTGGAACACAATATTAGCATTACCACAGTAATAGTAGACAAGATCTACATATATATATTTATATATATACTGTATAGATCCTCCAAGGATATACATTCCCAAACCATCACTGACCCACCCCTAAACCGGTCATCGTGGATGATGTTGCAAGCAGCAGAATGTTTTTCCACGGGGTCTCGTGACTCTTTCACGTCCGTCACATGTGCTAATTGTGAACCTGCTCTCATCGGTGAAGAAAACGGGGGCGCCAGTGGCGAACCTGCCAATTTTGATGTTCTCTGGCAAATGGCAATGGAGCTGCATGGTGCTGGGCTGTGAGCACAGGATCCTAGAGGACGTTGGGCCCCCATGCCACCCTCATGGTGTCTATTTCACACAAGTGGTCCGATGTTGTTGTGCTCTGGCAGTGCGCCTCCTGTTCCTCCTCGCACAAAGGAGCAGATACCGGTCCTTCTGCTGGGTTGTTGCCCTTCCACGGCCCTGTCCAGCTCTCCTTGTGTAATGGCCGTCTCCTGGTATCTCGTCCACGCTCTTGAGACTGTGCTGGGAGACACAGCAAACCTTCTTACGACGGCTCGTATACATGGGCCGTCCTGGAGGAGCTGGACTACCCGTGCAACCTGAATAAACTGCAGTCACATTCTCGTGCTACCAGTAGAGACAGGGGCACTAGCAAAAATGCTAAACTAGAGAAAAAGCACCCAGGAAAGGAGAGAGAAATAGTCTGTGGCCACCACCTGCAGAACCATTCCCTTTTTGGCGGGTTGTCTTGCTGTTGCCTCTCCTGTCCACCTGTCATCGCTTTAATTTGCACCAAAGCAGGTCAAAGTTATGTTCATTTCTTTCAAATCCCATGCAGTGTTGCCATCAATTTATCTCCAAACAGCAATCTTTGGTTTGCCACTTTTTTCATTAAGATCCAAGTTGAATTAAAACACCTTAGGTTCATGTTCATAAATACATACATGATACACCTAGACTGGCCTGTTTAGAGGGTATATGTGGAAATCGTAAATAGTTATAGTTTGCATTGAGACGTTGCTCTTTCCATAGCTCTTTCTGTTTTTGCCCTAATGTTGACCCAAATTGTCAAGGGAAAAAACAACTTTGATCATCATTACTATGTAATTCATTTAGAGTTCATAAATGTATTTAAAACTGTAGCCGGCAGCACTTGAATTCTGAGTTTATAATTCAATTTAATGCAACGACAGCTTTTTTGTTCCTTAGTCATTAGCAGGGAATGCACAGGTGTAACCAATGTCACTACCGATGGCTCTGTTCCATGTACAGGTGGATCAGTAAGTCACAGTGACAGGCACATAAACACAATGGAGCCTATGAGTCACACCTGTTTTTCCTGCTGGGCCATGTCAGAATGAATATCTGCTGTGAAAACAGGCCGATACTATCGCATTGTTTGATTTTGACGATGATGAACTAAGACCTAATTCAATATAAAGTGCTTTACTCTGAGCTCAATGCTTAAAATAGCATGTTAGCATTAAAGCCTCCTATGTATAGATTTTTTTATGTGTACATTTGTCATCTTTCATATTATTCTGAAGGCCTAAGTCTTTGTTTTTACAGTAAAACAAATGGAACGGTTCCTGTGAAAATTGGTGCAGTATAAAATTTTAGTTTTGTTTTCATCCCATTCATCTCAGTGTCCACCAGTCAGATCTGTGTGGGGTGTTTTTTTGAGGAGTGGGGCATTTTTAAGCTTTTATTACAGACCGTATAGATGCAATGGCTGGACCCAAAATAGAGACCTTGCAATTCATTGGTCCACAATGTTCTTTGTGATACTCCTTTCTAAAAATGATCAAATCTTACAGGGCTCAAAAGGCAGCTGAGTCCATATAGGTGCAGCTGATGCTCAGAAACGAACATACTGACTGGATATAGGCTACTCCAAAACGGACAAAGGCAGAGGACCACACAGCTATGCAGATGTGGAAGCTATAATTTGCTCCTCCAGAATAATGCCGGTTTATCCAATCTGACTGTAAAGCTGAGCCTGACAAAGGGACTCAGAGGTGTAGCCCGCTAACTGACCACTGTACAGACGCCCTCAGATGCTCAGCAACATGGCCGGTTGTTTGGGGCCACCTTCTGGCCATGACTGCACATTTTCGCTCACAGCAGGCTTGGTGGAATCTGTTAATGTATCTTTTTAGAAACACAATCCATTTGTGTTATTATTTAAATATAGCTTTACAACATATATTTTGTATCTATCTGTATTCTATCACTCAGATGTCCAATAGACGGAGAATACATTTGATCGGCTCCTTCATCACCGTTATTTATTTTATTAAACTTTAATCTTGTAAAAAAAAACAACACTATCTTAAAGGCACGTGATCTTCTGTCAAATAGCCTAGCTACGGTTACAGGCCCACGTACGCACAAACCTGTTAAAGGGGGGAAGCCCCGTAATAAATACCTCCACAGGATGGCAGTATAAGTCTGAGTGTGCCTTCTTTTAAATGGGTGTGCGTTCCCGCGTGTGCGTGAATCTGCGTGGGAGTTCCTTCCTTCGCCATTCCGGGGTGTTGCCAACCGTACGGCACCGCCGAGAGGCGTCCTGGAGAGGCAGAGCCTGCATGCGCTCCTGTTCTCTCTTC